CACAGCAGAGGGTCAGGATCCCCTCTCTCCATCTCTGCCCACGCTGCTCTGGATGCAGCCCAGGAGGTGACTGACTCAGTGACAGCTCACTGGGCTGTGAGCATGCACTGTTGGCTCCTGTCCAGCTTTTCATCCAGCAGCACCCCCAAGCCCTTCTCCACAGGCCTGCTCTCCATCACATCATCCCCCAGCCTGTGCTGACAACAAGAATTGCCCCTACCCTGGTGCAGGATCTTGCACTTGGCCCTGTTGAACCCAATGACCCCAGATCCCTTTGTTTCCTCCCCCCTCAGCTCTCCTTGGCAGCAGCCACAGCAGAGTCACCATCTGGACAAGGTGCCAGCAGCACTCTGACCAGCTGGTGGGGATTTGGGGCAGCTCTTCCTGCTGGGTCCATCCAGTCACGCTTGTGCTTCTGAAGGTGGAGCAAGGCCCTGCCTGGGCCAGTGTGCAGCACCAGGAGCTGGGCAGCTGAGAACCACAGTGCTGCCTGCCCCAGCAGCAGCCTGGCAGGACCTTGTCCTTCCAAGGCTCACCACTCTGCGTGCTCTGCAGGGACACTCTCCAGTAATTCAAGAAAAGCAGGAGAGACTAAATCATAAAGAAACTTCTTTTCTCACAAGCAGGAGAACTCAGTGCCAGAAGTCAGCATTAAACTGGACCCTTCCTCTGCAAATACTCTGCACAGAAGCAGGCAGAACCATCCGTGTTACTCTCCTAAGCAGCCCCTCTCCCCCGAGGGCCAGCAGCACAGCCAGCATGCCGTACCTGCTCTGAAGAGGGCAGCAGAAGCAGCACTCAGCCAGGGCCGCCACAGCTCAGCCGTGCGGGTGTAGATCCTGTGCTCCCTCCCTGGGAGCTGGCTCTTGGGGTGGAAGTCATGATTGCCCATCGCTGCATAGACTCTGGTATCTGGAGTCAGAGAGCAAGGGGCAGAGGGGAGTCCGTGCTCACCTCAGAGTTCTTCAGCACCAAAGCTCCCCGAGGCACTCAGGCTGCAACAGCCCAGCCTGTCCTGAGAGCTCTGCAAAGCCAGCCAGCCACAGCACAGCCAGGTGGTGGCACTGACTGGGGGGACAGCACTGCAAGGGACACCCCTTCTTGGGCCACAGCTTCACAGATGAATACATGAGCTTTCCCCATCACCACCAAGGAGGTTTCACCATCTCCTTTCCCCACTGCTGACACAGACTAAGCGCCAGGAAGCCTTACAGACTTTTGTCTTAATGACTAACTACAGAAACGTTTATTCTCCTCTTCTGAGTGCATTAACCTCAAACAATGAGTGTGCATCAGATGTCCAAATTCGGACACACCTCGTGCCATTCAGCAACTAGGAAGAGGACAAACAAGTCCCAGCACACACAGCCCTTCCATGCATTTCTCCTTCCCAGTTCTGTCACTTCTTCATCCTGGTAAGTTCTTCCCATGAGACTCTGTGCCCCTCACCCTTCTCATCCCTTCAAATCCTACCTGGAAATGTCTCTTGTATGAGAGAAGTCAGATTTTCTATTATGTACAGAACCTTCTCTTCTCCAAGCTTCTCATTGGGGACGTGAGGAGTATCATCTCTAGAAACACAAAAGCAGCTCAGTCACTGCCTGTGGTAAGTAGGGCACAGAAACTTGCATATTGCTTTTTGTGCCTCCTAGAAAATACAGCTGAACCTTTTGGGACCAGTGCTATGCTGATTGGCCAAGGCACTGAAGGAGTTGCAAGGAACTGCTCCAAGTGAAGACGAGCTCCACTTTATTCTCCTTTCAAAAACTTGTACACCAGCATATGAAGTGGAGGTTCACTCTGCCTCAATTCACTTACAGACAATAAAGCTGCCTGGAAATATTGCAAGGAACAGCATTTTGCAATCTCAGGTCACCATCTGATCAGCAATAGCAAAGTCAAGCTGCTTGTATGGCTGTTTGAAGAGCAGAGGGCAACTCTCATTAAAACAAAACAAAGGAACGCCTCCAGGCTGGCAGTGATGCTTGAGCTCTGCCTCCAAAAGCTGGACACAGCTCCTGCACTTTCACTAACATGCTTATGGCATTGGGAGGTGATGCTGAGCTGCTAACAAGCCCACCGAAGAAGATCAAAATTCAAAATGATGTCAAAGAACTGGGGGAAAATAGTTTGAAGAAAAAGAAATAATGAGCATAAAGTCCCAAGGACCAATAACCACTCACCCACAGAGACAGAGAGGGAGGAGGTGGGGTCAGGCAACAGCCCTGCAGGGGAGGACTGGGGTTACAGCAGGCAACAGGATGATGCTGCTCTATTACAAGAAAAGCAACGCTACAAGAGGGCATCCATGCTTAAAACAACCATGCCACACACAGCTCCTGCTGTCTGCCAGCGCCACTGAGGCTGCCTGCCAACAGGGTACCCACTTCTGGAGACCACGCTAGGAGAAAACATGCTTCATTTGGAGAGGTTCTTCATACTTCTAAAGCAAAACAGCCCGTTTTTAGACAATTCCACCAGGTGCCTCTTTACAGTTTGAAAAAATGCCACAAATCTATTTTGCAGTGCTCTCCTCCTGTCACCTCGAACAGGCAGGACTGGTGCACCAGCAGAGAGCACATCCCATTCCCCCAGGCGTGCCAGGTGCCCGGAGAAGTCAGACAGGGCCGGCAACAATGAAGAGGAAGGGAAGGGTGGCGAGTCGTGATCCATTCCTTACCTCACTGCTGGGGCTTGCTGGGAGGCTCTCGCTGGCGGCGAGAGGCTTGGCTGCGGTGATGCCTCCCCCAAGCCTCCACTTTTATTAGGTGCAACCCCATCTCACCTCTCCAGAACGGTTACCACCTAAGAGCCCCAGACCCCCCCAAGCTCCTCACACCCCAGGCTGCCTCTTCCCCCCTCCAGACCCGCCCACCCTCAGCGGGCAGGGTGGCACCACAGCCCCACAGCACG